TGCGAAATAATTGAAACACAGAGCCGCGTTTGTCGTGAGGGCGCATTGGGCGCAACCTGAGGCCTCGTTCCCCGTGGAGCCGTGTTTCGAAAGCTTGTATTTTTGTTTGATTAAAATGAGTTATCGCGGAGATGTCGATTTTTATTAGAAGAAATGTGGATAAATTTGATTAACTGAAATGGATTTTTTTCTTTTGAGATCTCGCAATGTGGTTGCGTTTGGGGCCTCCGATAGTATAAATGCGACCCTGTTGAAATACGTACTCGTACGTAGGGTAAAGTGGCCTAATTGTAAGTTTCGTTGATTTCGTAAATCGATTTGCAACGCACTTGATAATTGATTAATTGTTTTGGAGTAATTCAGAAAGTTTGACGCTTCCTATATTTAGTAATTAAATGTTACGTTATTTCAAATCGAAAGGTGGGGTAATATGAGACCCCGGCATATCTCCGTTACAGAACTCTCGAATGTCGCGGCGATGCTGTCTCGTTTCATGATTAACCGCGTTAATTATCAAATTAAATATGAAATTTGATCGAAATCAATCAAGCGTCTTCAACAAGCATATCTGTGCAGTACGTTGCAGAAAGTCTTTCAAGTGGTTCGATTAAGTTACAAATACCTCGAAAATAGTAAGTTTACAATCATTTTCATAAATACCGTTGTATAGTGCATGCAATGGAGTTTAAGGCTTACTAGTTGCGTATCGTTAAATAGCTACTTACTGTTTCCGAATATGAGACCCTCGGAAGTTCCTACTGTAAGAAGAGTCTCATATTGGGCAGCCAATTTTGCTTTAGCGTACAAAGTGTTACCGGTGAGCCCACGAAGTCTGCGGTGCTGAAGAAACAGATTTAATTTCATATTGGGCAGCCAATTTTGCTTTAGCGTACAAAGTGTTACCAGTGAGCCCACGAAGTCTGCGGTGCTGAAGAAACAGATTTAATATGCCCAATGTGTGAAAAAAGACAGAAGAAATAGTTTTCTCATATCAGGAACCCATTTTTTAAATCTGTGCATTTTCATAATTTTCGTTCTTATTTTATTACGAAGGAACCGAATTTTCTTTACCGTACATTCCAGCACCTTACAAAAGAATACACATCGTACTATTAAAACATGTATCGAATTTGAATAAAAGTGCTCTTAGTCGACAGTTGTGACTTCTCTAAGAAATGGGTCTCGTATTAGGCAACTTTACCCTACCCCAATATCTTGGCGCTCACCCGATTTAAGTCCCCCGGACTTTAAAATATCTCGATAACTAATCATTTCTCCACCGTTACACCTCAATACTTTTTTACGTAGAACGACGAGAGGAATCTATCTGTATAAAAAAAAAGTATGCATTTCCATTTAAGAAAATAATTCAATTGTCGATTACACGTGCATCATTGCACTTCTTTAAAAAAAAAGAAGCAATGTCCTACAGGTGTAGTGCTCTTTGAACCATCCACCTTCCTCCCCTGACATTTTTCTCTAACTGTCCTAGTAACGGAGTTACAACGTGTAACAGTTGCGTGGACCACCCTGTACAAGAAACGTCCTAGCGTTAACTTGCACGAGAAAATTTTTCTGACACACCTGTGGACCTCTCGCGGCACACCGGTTGAAAATCTCTGCGCCAAGGCGCAAATCACGATAGGATTTCGTGCGGCAGGAAGCGTTAGGACGCATCGTGTCACGATTCACCACGTCTCGTACCGCGACGCATCACGTGCGTCACGTTGTACAGCACGCCACGCCACGCCTGTACCGCCACTTACTCCCCGCGTTTAGTCATCGCTCTTTATTAATTCCAATGATCGAACGTAAAAGTAATCGTAGTCTCGACAGCTGAGAACGAAGCTCCCGGTTCGAACGTTCGATTTCTGCGCGATGAAGAGGAAAAAGAAGAAGGACAGTGTAAGGCGGCGAGAGAAAAGGGAGAAGGCGACGGAAGAGGAACAGAGGGATGAAGAAATTGTTCTACACGCAGAAGTCGAGCGGGATAAAATTAGCGAGATAAATCGGGAAAAGGATAGATGGAAAAGAAGAAAAGGGTTGGAAGCAACGAGAGGAGAGAGGGAAGAAAAGGATCAGGGAGAGGAATAAGATTGGGAAAAGGAAACTGTAAAATGAAAGAGGAGAATGAAAAAGTATGAGAGGGATGCGGCGATGTCACACTTTCGACACTTTCGATGCTATCTCAGGGATTGCTGCCGCCCCACTCCTTCCCCTCCTACGGTATAACTGTGACTCGAGTATAACGGGTGTGTGAAAAATTCGCAAACACCTAGAGAACTTGGGGTCTCTTTAAGGGGTCTTCCTGTTGTGACGGGTTGAAAAAATCAATTTTTTTTTTTTGCATTTTCTTATAGTTTAACATCTCGAAAACACGCCCACGAAGTTTTGAAGCTTAATTTTGAAAATTGGCAGAGATATATGCCTTCGAAGGAAGCGGTTTCGTATAGTCTTAACCCTAGAGCGGTGTTCGGGTCTTTTTTGACCCACCGCCTTTTTATATTTCTAGCAATTTTTGCTGTTATCGAGTTTACGTTCCTTAACATTATTTTAAACGTTTATTGCCTAGGTTCGTATGTCGCGTTGGAAACAGAAATTATTACACGTAAGGTCCTTGGGTCCTTTTTGACCCAAATGTCTTAAGTGTACAGTCAACGCAGTAGGGTTAAACTGTAGTTAAAACTTTAAGCGCGTTTTTGTCGAAACAGCATTTTTCAAATTGGCTGACATGATTAATAAAAAAACCAGAAGTCCGATCCACTCGAAATTTGTCAGGTATATTCGGTAGATGTTGACTTTATCGTCTGAACTAGAATTGTGCAAATATTTTCAAAATTCAGTCTTTGCGATCAAAGGACCATCGTTTTCTTTTTTTTTTGCTAAAATCGAGAGCAATTTCTTTGAAACTTTTCTTTGTTTCTCGATATTTTTTTATTATTCTAGTTCAGACGATAGTCGCACGTCTACGGATTGAGAACATGTTTGCATTTTGTATTTTGGATAAGTACAACGTAGGATATTCTTCAAGGCGCTCTCTTCGTGGTTGTCCTATTTTACAACAAATGGATGTTTCCACGTATAAACAATATTTTTGTGTTTTTAAAAGATGATAGAATAGACACAGAAATTTGCAGAAGGATACGTGCACCACTTGCTTCGTTTTAAATTTCCGAAAAATTTTTTCAGCCGTCACGTTCACGCGTGTGCACAATTGATCGTCGAATAAGTGCAATTTTTGAAAAATTATTTCATTTTCCATATAGCGTTATTCCTTCATCGTGGCGGAAAGCGTTGCTTACAGCGTTACAAAATAATGGAAAACTTATACTGCACGTCTAGAAAATAATTAAAAAAAAAAGACAAAATTCGTCTTACTTTGCAGATCAAATTGAGAAAAATACGATCGTTAACCCTTTCCTTGCGGCAGATTTTACTACATAACGCACATGGCAGATTCAAATGTACCGCAAAGTTCGCAAAATCTTTTCCTTTTTCCGTATCGCTTCAAAATTTCTTTCATTAAATCAAGGTGGAGGAGAGTGCAGAGGAGAAGATTAAGGCTTAAATTAATACGAAAATGTACCAAAAGGCTCCAATAGCACAGTGCGAGCAAATTTTCAAAACGCCTATAGGCGCCAGTAGCAGTGAAAGCGAGGAGAAAGGGGACACTAGACTGAAAAATTTTTTGGGTCTAAATAAAATATGGTCGGTGTGAAAATGATCGTTGAAACGTATAAGATGAAACGTGGAGAAAGGAAAATCGAGAGGAACAAGTGAAGTGTTGGCAATTGGAAAAGACACCGCGTAGGTTTCTTCTAAGAGTGGATGGACGGATGAGGTGTGAGTTATACCAGGGGCAGGAGGCAGGCGGACAGGTTCGCGGCTTTACTCTGGTCCTCCATGGGGTCAGATGTGTCGGGGTTAGAAGTGGAAAGGGAAAACGATGAGGGGAAATGGGGTTGGGGGTGGGGTTCTAAAGCTGGTCCTATCCGTGAACAAATGGGTTGGGGGTTGAAATTGGGATTGGGGTTGATCGATATGCTGTACCGCCACTAATGCCACAACGTCACGATACACACACACAGCCACACACATAAGCACGCACGCGAAACACGTAGCGCTGGACGAGTGGCGCGAAAGTAATCCTTATCGAAAAATGTCATCACGGTTCAACCAGTCGTATCCATCGTCGAATCGAGGAAAATCATCGACGACTCTACATTTTAAATCATTCTCCTTTCGCCCGATACACGCGAGAAACGGAAAGAACTTGGAAATAAATGAAAAACGACGCTGTCTGCAATCCGGAAACACGATCGTCGATTTACAACAGACGTGTAAGTACTTACGTTCCTGCTTGTCATAAATCATCTTTTTAAAGTGGTTGACCATTTTGAACAAAATATCGTTTCGATCACAATTGACAGATTTGGTTGGTCTTTTTCTTTTCTAATCCGTGTAATCGTGAACATCGTGGTGCAAGCGAAGATGGTGGCATACTGGTCGACATACTCGAAAGGGACAAAACGCCATGTGTAATTTATAATTGGACATTTTATTCATTTTAAGGAGCAAAGGAAACTGTATATTACAACGTTAGGCAAATTATGAAAAAATCGTCGATCGAAATGTATCTTCTCTCGGATAAATTTGAATATATGCATCATGGCAAAGCAGCGGTTCGTTTGCCTCGCAGCGCAGGAATTCGGTGATTATAAAGCAACACGCGTAGCAAGATACCAAGAAATAGAGAGGATAGGTTGCTAATACGTATAGATATGGGATTTTATTAAATATCGATCGATATCATGGCTGGTATGTCGTATGGGTATCACCATATCAGGGTAAGTAGGTACAATGTGGTTGTGCATTGCAGTTCCATAGAAAATATTATAATGCTGTTTGAGTTCGAGGTTGCGATACGCAATGGTATTCGTTAAATTAGCCCATATCGCCGCGTCAGTCCTGAAGCGTTGTATCGCGCGTGTGTGTGTGTGTTTTTTTTTGTTCTTTTCTCTTTTTTACCGAATATATCGTTGTTTGCTGAATCGCCTCGGCTAGAGCAGACGTTCAAAAATTGTCACTGCCAGCTCTACTTATTCGGCACCTTCCTGAGAACTTGCCACACGAGTGCACCGTATGAAAATGTTCCGAGGAAAATGTCGCGGTACGTTGCGACGTACGCGCGTTTTTAGCGATGGCAGTGAATAGAGTAGTGAGCTCTCGTTTTTTTTTCTTTTTTTTTTCGAGTAACTAGGAATTATTACTTTTTGCTCTCGCCTTCCCGTGTTCCGCGTTCTTTCCCGTAATTTCCATCCTTTCCCTTCTCCCTCTGTTTCTTCTTCTTCTTCCTCTTCTTCTTCTTCTCATTCGTCGTTTCGACTGAACGTCGACGTTTCGTTGCTTCTCATAGTTTCTTATACCAAAAAAGATAATGTTCTCCTTCGCTGATCTGAAGATCATCGACCCCTGAAAAGATCTCCTGTTTAGAGCGTTGGAGCGATAAACTAACATTGTACGATTCAATGATATCAAGTGGGCTGGCTGGCATACGACACGACACTGACGAACATGCAAGCGACAGTAACGAACGAGATGGATAAGATTTACGAATGAATTACGGAGGGTAGAGAAAGAATTAGAGAGAAAGATGCTTTTACGTACCGCCGGGAGCAACCAGTTGATTACCCGGTGGCGAGGACGAATCTGGCGTCGAGGTAAGCCGATACAGTAACCAGTAATGATAAGACATCGGTTCCTCTTTGTAACCAGCTATCGTGTGAACGTAATGCCCGTTCGGCCATTCGGACGCAACGAACTGAAAGTGCGGCGACATTTCTGCGGCCAGAAGCATCACTTCGTAAAACGTTTCATTTTTCGGGGCAGTCACTATCAAACTGTACGTCTCGTTCACGTTGCTGCCAACCCATAGAGTATAAGAAACGTTCACCATAACTGGCGCTGCGACGCTAACCACCATCACCATGCTATCGGTACTGGTTACGTTCACCATGTTCCCTCCTGCATTGTTTCCGGCGATACCGTTATTTCCACTGTTCCCATTGCTGGTAGTTCCGCTATTCCCTATCGAGACCTTGTTCGTGTTGTTGTTGCTGCTGTTGCTGCTACTGCTGCTGCTGCTGCTGCTGCTCCCAGAAGTGACCAGTGGCGTTGGTACGCTTTCGTTACGATTACCCGAAATTGTCGCCGGTTCTGCATGATCGCAGATCGAGAAACAAAGTTGTTTGTCAATTTAGAAAAAAAAAAGACACGCGTACAGTGAAAGAACGTACCGTTACTACCGTTCGTGGTGAATCTTGGCGGTGATGTCTCGTCGAGTCCTTGTCCGCATTTCAGTGTTCTAATGCTAGCCAAGCCACGAGGCGCTACGCCGAGGAGAGCTTCGGCGGTTACTCGGACGTCACCGGCGAAAGAACCGTCGACACGTTGCTGGCTGGTTAACCAAGACAAAGCGGCGGATCTGTTCCAATTGTCAGCCGGCTCGTTTTCCGCTTCCTCGAGTGCTTGCATCACCAACGCGGTCGTTCGAACATCTCCGAAGCTACCGTCCAATCTTTGCTGCTGCGCCAAACCGATCGACGGTTTTCGCACGTAATGATGGAGATTTCGGTGTCTGTGATCCTGAACGATGCACTTCAACGCTAGGATTACCATTGCAACGGTATCTGGGAGAATACGCAAGTTTATGTTACATATCGTGTACACTCGTGGTACATGTCTATGGTAAACTACCCACCGACGTTGTGATCTTGAGCGGCGTTCGCAATGTCCAGCAATCGACGTATCTGTCGCTTTCGTACATGAGCCTCTGCGTTGCACGCGGCTAAAGTTGTAAGGGCGAACTCGTAATCTGTGGGCGGTTCGTGATGTTGAAGGGTCCCGATCAAATCGTGACCGTGAAACTGCCTCGGATCCGTGCACATCGCGTTCAAGGCAAGCGTATAGCGGGCTAATCGAACCGGGGAGAAACCAATTTCTCTGTGCCTGCGGAAACACTCGATATGATCCTGTCTTCTCCCGCATTTCCTATCTTTTAACGACAAATTCTATTCTACGTACGACAGAAGAGCTGTATAATTGTATAGTCGGGGCCACGATATAGCGATAAACGTGTATCAGCTGTCGGGACACGAAAATTGACAAAAATACGAGCAGATAAGTAAGTACTTGAAACCATGGTCAGGACCGTACGAAGAATTCGTGTATCCAGCGAAAATCGAACTGATTCTAATATATTTACTGAAAACTGCGTGCAGCCAGGATAAATTAGGGTTTCTCTCTCTGGAGGAAGCTGCTTTTGGAAGTTAAACGTCTTTGTTTTTTAACATCTTAATTTACCTGCGAGTGTTGTGTACAGGCAGGAAATGAGAGAAAGTTGTGTAGCTGCGGACACAGAAAGAAATTATAAATATCTCAGATAGTAATTAGTATTAACGTATTTTCCATCTTTTAAATGAAATACCAAATCGTATGCTACCGTTCGTTTATCGTTGGAACCCTCGAACAGACTGCAACGCACGGCCTTGAGTGTCGCAACATCAATCGGTGCCGATTGTTGAGAGTTTAATTCACGACCTCGCTATATCGTGGCCCCGACTATGATAGTTCAGAAAAATCGCAGATATCCTTCCCTTACCTCCACAATAACAAAACGATTTCGAGCTCCATTTGCTTGCTGCTGAGCTGCAATTCGAGAGGAGCCACGGGGGCAACGTTATCCTCCCGCGACAGATTGCTCATTCGAAGAACCAGGAGAACTCGGTGTGTATCGTTCCCCCAGCCCGCATCTTTGTCACGCTGACTCCATAACCATGCAGTTGCACGCTCCAAAATACTTTCCGCGTCCGGGTCGCTCGAACCAGTTTCCGTGATGCTTCCTACAACCACTTTTCGTCAAACTACTGCTACAGCTTCTTCTTTTTTTATTCGTTTCTATCGACTTTGTTTCTCGCTCAACGACGTGTCAGAGACGAGAACGATCGAGAACGATCGAGAATGATGAATCGGAAGATGATCGAACAAATGGAAGAAAGAAGAAATACCTTCGGCGTATACTACGTTCAGCGTGCAGATATGCGCTGCTAAAAGCAGCACCATTACGGCTGCCATACTTGCTCTTCCCCACATTTCACCAAAGATCGAATAATGTACTCGATCGTTGATATCTCGCCTGTAACAACACGATTAATGATAAAGTTGTTCGTCTCCTTTCTTCACCTCCCCGCTCGTTAATCAGCGCGGGCGGATGCGCGCCCGCGCATACACACGCACACTTTATCTTCTTCAACTTCTTCCCTTTCCCAAAAACCTTGTTCGTAGCTTTGTTGAAAGCTAAACTCTGCTACGAGGAGAGTGGTACACCAACGCTGACGTTCGATCGTTTTATCATGAAGTAAAATGGTTGCGCGCGATGGACATCGGTGTAAAAAAAAAAAAAGGGCACCACTACCTCAGCAGCCACATTCAGCGTCGCTACGCCCGCGGAAACACTGCTGGGAACAACGCGATGTTACGTGGGATCGATATCGCGACACCCATCGCCGCCGTTGCCGCCGCCACCGCCGCCGCCACGTACTCTAAAACGATCTATATACACTCCAACTCTTTACTCTGCAACTATACCTACTCTCCCCAGTATAGCTAGATGCTCTCTTTTTCTCTGTTATTGCCTAGTTATTCACCTCTTTTCTACTATCCCAGTATGCTTCACTCATACCACGTCTAGCCATCGCCATCGCTACACTCGTATAAGTATTTACTGCCATCCGTTTCCATTCTACTCATACCCGAGACCCTCCCCTTCCATCAGATTACCGGCGCGACACGGCGGCGGTCCGTCCGTCCGTCCTTCCGTGAGTTCTCCGCGGACTAGATCACCACCCTTTACCGCCCCTTCTTTTATTTGCCGATGTCATTTCGTTTTTTCGTCAAACTCAGCTACGGAGTAACACAATTTATCTGTTATCGGTAAAGAAACGATAATACGGGATACCGGTAATACGATTTATCTATTATCGGTAAAGAAACGATAATACGCGATACCATTAACCCACGTTTCAGCAATTTAATCGATACTCTCGTTACACGATGTAAGAAAAAGTAATTTGGAAGTATTATGGAAAGAAGAAAATGATCGATGAAATATACCTTTCCGTTGAATAAAAAAATAACGTTGTTTAATTTTCAACCGTATCGTACACTTCCCTTTCACTTTCTTTCACTTTCGCTATTTACACGAAAACTGTAAAAGAAAAAGACTGGCCCACGTTTATGGTCCTATCTTGCGTGGAGAAAAACGATTCCACATGATGTGAATTAAATTTGTAATTGTATCGAAGAGAAATAATGTAAAGGATGAGAGAAAGGAGGAAAGAAAAGCATAGGAAGTAGGGAAGAATGATGACAGTGTTGAAGAATGTAATTATCGTTCTTTGATTTCGCTATCTCGAATAAATACGCAATGCAGATTACACGTGAAGTAAAATCGACGTTTCTCGCGCAATCTTAGAAACTGTATTGTTACGTGCATGTATATATGTATGTATATATGCATACCGTTTATTTACTTACCTCGCTACGAACTATTACTATTTCCAACCCAATAATTATCGCTTTTTTTTCTTTTTCAATTCACATTCACCCGAATATTTACACCTAAGTGCTGGGAGATTTTTTAATGTGCTGGGAGATTAGAACAAGCACGTCGAGTCGAACTCATCGTTAACGCGACTAACGGTGGAGGAAGGGAACAACGCTACCTCAAGGAGACCAATGCAACGAGAGCGAGCAAGGGGTGCAACGGGCTTCGATATTGCCCTCTTTCCCCTGTTGTTGCTGCGTCCAATTGGCGTGTCGCGCTTCACATCGCACCAGAAATATGGCCGTACTCGTATTTCCGGCTAAATAACGATTAGTCGCAGGTGCTCGGGCGCGTCTAGACGTCGCGTGCAAATAAACAAGTGATATAATGCGATAATCATAACTAACAATTCTTTTTAACACGATAGTGATAAATGGCGCGTTGTATTTTGCCGTGTTGCTAGCCTCTAGGGAATTTCCCTAGGTACCTAGGTAGTTACGTCTCATACCGTAAAGGAACCGTCTTCTCCGTCAGTTTCATACCCTGTAAATAAAATGAATTCTTTTCGTCAACTTTCATGTTGTGCCTTTAAAAGTTAAGTCTCAATCGTGAAAATTAGCGTTCTGCTCGTTTAAACAACGCGTGGTTGCAAATAATAACCTAACCTTCTTTAATGAAGTTAAACCTGTTGAACAAATAAGTGTCCATTTACAGCACCTAGCCCTTTGATCGATCTATTATTTTTTACCTAATTATAAAATTACGTTTAATTCTAATTATATAGACCACTAAGTACCACAGACGACCGTACAGGATAGAGAAGACCCTTACCATTTTCGTTTCGCTCCCAACATTACCGATTTAGTTTAGAATAAGATTACAATATTAGCAGTGGTTTTAAGAGCAATCGTAACTATGAAATTACAGATAAGAAAGTAACGTAATTGTTTATTAGTAGATGATTCATCACGTGCACACGTTCTATTGCTGTCAAAAGATCGTGAACTGTTCTACCCACGTAATTCAATATATTTACATATTTACTCGTGCTTACTATGAAGGGTAACTCATCGAGGTACATTTAGTAATACAGAAATGAGTAAGACAAGGAAAGAAATACGGATAGACAAGGATAGCAATAGAGAAATTAATTAGACAAGGATAGCAATAGAGAAATTAATTAGACAAGGAAAGGAATAGAGTTAAACAAGGATAGAGAATTTTGCAGACCTAACGTCATCTCGTGTTTGGCTGTTCGAACTAACAACACGTTACTAGAAATACAGAATGTGAACAGAGGTATTAGACAAAGAACGCACTACTGTGCCAGAAGGATAGCGAGAAAACGTTTCCTATTGGCCCGCGTGCTACTAAGTTCCGCCCCCTAGGCCCTAAATCAACTAAGCCTGTGAAAAATCATTAATAACTCATTATTTACTTTTAGAATTAAAGAATGAAGAATAAACCTCTAGCAACTTTCTCATGTAGGCCAACTGCAATTCCTAATACACTCATAACTTTTAGGAATGGTAGATATCCATTGTTGAAGGTGCAAGCGGCCAATAATGCAGCAATTTCAATGATTTTTGCTCCACAATGCAAATGTTTTTCAGTTTTTCTTCTACTAACTGTCGAGACGTACCCGCCGAACCGCTGCCGCAAGACCAGTTAACGCATAAAACGATTGTATTTTCCGAGCGAATTGTACACCTACCATCACACTTATGTATATCTTAATAAATTGAGGTGAAAACAGTGTAACGGCGTTTCCTCACCCACCTCAGTGTCATAAATTACACTATTATCCATACCGTATTGTAAACGGGAAAGTTTGGCTATTTTGCGATTACGATGTAGCAACGATTTATTTTTTATAATATCGTCGAAAACAGTAAAAGTGACTGTGCAGTGAAGTACATCAGCCGTACCATCAGCTGCTAGGGGTTGCCTTGAAAGGTCAGGATCGGCACAATGACCCACTTCCGTCGAAGCAGATTAATTCGTGGACGAATGGTTAAGTTTTCCATAAGTAATAAAACACTTTATTCCTTTCGGATAACGAATAAAAGTATGGAAAACAGTTATTAATTTCTCAAAATTAGTAAAAGCATTTAATTTGAATAAATGGTAGTATTTGTAAAATTTTCACCTAATGCATCACACATCTAACTATTGACTAACTATTGACATATTGCAGTATTGTATTAGAATAAAAAATTCTTTTCCGGCATTCAATGTATTAAACGACTTATTAGTTTATTTGTTATTCGTGAATAACAAATAATTCCAGATTATTCTTAATTTAAGACGATGTAACATTTGCCGCACGCTTCCCTCGATACCCACGCTGCGCTAATGCGTTTGCTGACGATCGCGCGCGAATAAGTCTCCGCGGTCCGGTGCCCGAGCGCGGGCTCTACGCGCGCTCTGATTGGCCAGTGTTTTTCGTTAATAATTCAAAAACGAAGCTTCAACCAACATTTTGGTAAAGAAAAAAATTATTCAGAGTCACCCCAGCAACACCCTATTTCCGGGTGTTACACGCTTTACGAAACATCCTGTATAATTCCGAAACTCACCGGTTTATATCGTAGAGGGCATAACAAAACCTCTGATTTTTTACACGATCGGTATTTCAGAACTTTGAACACAAAGATACATTAGGTGATAGGTCTATTCTGCATCTTGTCTGTGTCTAAACCACTCAGTATGTAGGGAATTTTAGAAATCCGTATGTGCCCGCCTGAAAAGCCCAGGTCCTAGGGATGTTACAATATATTGTACTTGAAAATTTATTTATTAAATAGCATATGACTATTTTGTTATATAAGAATGTAACTAACACTTATATATACATATGTGGATGTCGCATATGAGACATACCTATTATTTCTCTGGGTACATTTTATTCAAAATATTTGTTACATTATTTGTGTGGTATTTTAATTTTAATTTTAGATTTAGATTTAATTTTATTTTAAATTTAGTTTATTTAATTAATGTACTTGCAACGTGAAAGAAATCTATTTCACATATAGTACGTTTAGTATAAATACGCCACTTCTTTTATTTGCATGCAATATGATAGTAGACATCCAGTAGAATTGCAAGTCATTGTATGTTAAGCTGAATTGAGTGTGTAGATGACTTCTAATATTAAGTTTATAAATGATTTAAACTTTTGTGGAATTCCAATTATTGTGAAGAAAATACATTCATAATAATGGTATGTTTGAGTAGACTTTCTTATTTACATATGTATTATAAATTTCATTGGTAATAATAGTAATAATAATTTGAAGTTATATTTAATATTTAATACTTTACATATATGTATAGTTCTGTTCCTTCAATAGCAATACATAGAATAATCAAGTACAGGAAAGTACTTATGAAATGAGAAAAGAATCATTTGAATATAGAAATTAACAGTGTAAACAAGGGTATAAACACAGTTCCAATGTTAACAGCTGTTGTAACTTAATTGAAAAAATGACATTGATTGATTGATTATTAGAATAATTAAAATGTTTAATATAATTTCAGTGTTTGAGAATTGATATAAATTTTAAGTATATAGTTCTGTGTATATCCATAAAGTTCATGAAATTTACTTAAGAGGAAGAGTAAATAATTTCTTACGAATATTCATTAAATTGGTATGAATAGAATATTTTTATCTGCCTTGTTTTCAGAAGACTTTTTTTTTTTGTATTTTAAACTTTGTTGATAAAAATTCAGTTTATGAAACTTATTTTTATCTGTAAACTCATTTTGTTGTTTTTGTCAGGTGTATAGTGTATGTCAGAGGTGTTATGACTTTGGGAAGATATTGTTTTTTGTCAATAATTGACTACACATCTACTTTACCTAAAATTTGGTGGAAT